TAGTCTGCTTGCGGGACTTCCCCAGAGGCCGTCGACTTAATTAGCTACGATATGTGACAGTGGAGGGTAATCCCAGCTCCGAAATCCGAATGTAGAATCGTATTTGGATTTAAATGGAGAGTCAGAACAATACATAAACATTTTTGACCATCGAAAATAAGACATTCAGAACATAGATTAACTGCATGTGAATGTTTGTCGGTTTGTGACTACCTGGTTTCAAGTGGGCAAGGATTGCGCTCTCTCAACACCAAGGATAAGACGCAGAGCTGGGGATATAACCCGCACCCTACTGTCTTCCACAGCCTAGTACTTAGGGAGTAGGATCATCTTTTCTCCCCCAACGTCAGTAGATGCCGACGCTATGGTTGTTTGATCCATAGCAATTGACCTATTTGGTAGGAGTGACTCTGAAGGCAAACGAAAGGAAGCACTCAGCGAGGTTCAACAAAATATGTAGGCACGATAACATTGCAACAAGTCGGAGCCCAGTCTAATCGTGACAGCGGAAATAGAGCAGGTACATAAACTACCACATTAAAGTAAGTCATTGGGTAAGTTATTCCTCAAAAGAATTCCCAGAATACCGTGCGTCACGAAACAGCTCGGAGAGTCTACATGCAAACGTCGAAATGCTAGTAATATTAAATACCACTAACGGTATTTGGTCTTCACGTTCTCTCGGTATTCTGAATTAAACACCCAAAAATTTCTCAGCAAAAATTCTAGCCCAGCCGAGGAAAAATCAAAAGGCCAACGACTTTGACCACGAAAAGCGTGTTAACAGAAACGCCGACAAAACGCTACACAACTACGCCAGACCTACGCCAAATACATAGGGTGGTCAATGACCTTCGGCTTCTAGAAAACGAAGGTTAAATGGTAAGATTAGCAGCCTCCCTGCCAAAACTTCATACGCTGGCAATCACGTGAAGGAATAGAAGGTTCCGGAATCTTCGAAATCAAGGCACGATCGAAGATAATCGATTAATCGCTAAAATAAGGAGTGTTCCTTTATGTGTTTACTTTTCCCGGATACCTCCCCTCCTGAAACGGCTGCCGCGGTGTATGATGCTAGCCTGGGATTGACCTGAAATCTCGTGGAAGGGGATCTACGCCTATCGGTCCATCGCCTTGGCTGTAGTGTTCTGGATTCAAGTTCCGTGCTCTGCGGTCTGGTATCATTCGTCTGATGACAGGGTTTTTCCAAGGGCTCTTTAGGCAAGTTGAAACTGCCCGTTAACAGGTCAAATGGAAGCTCGGCTGATTCTGTTGCTTGAGGCTGACACAGTGTTGGTCGAAGTTGGGATGCATGGCGTACCCAGACCTAGGTTCCAACCAGCACGTCGTAAATGGCGTTCCTGCGCTTGCCCTGGATCGTGCCTGGCGTCCATTTTGCGTGTCCTTCCCGGTAATCACGTACAAGTTCTGGCTGACCCGGTTTAAACGAACGTCGCTTATCACCATACCACCGATTGAAGTCACGTTCCATCTTGAGGTTCTTTTCGCCAGCTGTGAGCTCATGGGACAACCGAACTGCATCAAATGGCATGTGAAGCTTTCTGCAAAATGACTTGATGCAGTGGTAGCTGGGGTTGATCGTTCCCGAGTACCCTTGTCCGCCAAGATTCGAGGCTTTCTCTTCATCATTGCCTCTGCTGGTGATATGCCAGCCGGCACTTGTGAAGTTTATGTAGATCGGTACAGAAAAAGAAAACGGTCAATCACCTCCTCTATGTCACCCTCCCTCCTTGATTTGAGGAGAGTGCGTTTGAATGTATCCACAAATCTCTCCGCCTGGCCGTTCGATTGTGGGTGGAATGGTGGAGACCGCATGTATTTGATGGGGCAGCGTTTGCAGAACTCCGTGAATGTGGCCGAAGTAAACTATGCTCCATTGTCCATCACAAATGTATCAGGGCAGACGAAAGTGCTGAAGATTTCTCGCAACCACAAGAATGTTGCGCTGGATTTCGTGCTGCTCATGAGGGACAGTTCGGGCCACTTGCTGTAAGTGCCAAGCACTAAGAGAAAGCCCTGACCGTTGATTGAAATTGCAAAGTTGACATGAATACGGCTCCAAGGTTTAGTTGGTTTAGGTCACGAGTGGAACTCAGTCTTCGGTGGTGTCCTTGAAGCGGTAGCGCAGTTGCTACAACTTCTAGCTGGCTGCTCCAGCTGTCTGTCCATAAACGGCCAATACACAACTTCGGGCGAGCGCTTTCATTCTGTTGAGCCCTGGATGCCCTGCATGGAACTGTCGCAGCACTTTCTTGCGACGCCTGCGAGATAACTACTATCTCTGAAGGCATGACGCAATCGTTCACAGTGGAGAGGGAATGTCTTCGCTGATAGAATTGCTGCATTTTGGCAGATGAGCACGAACGTGGCCAGCTGGTTCTGTGGAAGTGTGTAATCTTCAGGATTGGATCTCGAAGCGCTTCGGCCCGCACAGCTTCGGTCATAACTCGCAGACCATGTAATGCCTCGCTCACCAGGAAATTGACATCAGGTTCCATCTCAACTGAGGCTATGATGGTGTCCTCGTGTTCTTGCTGCTGGGAATTAATGAGGCATGACAACGCACCTGCCTCGTCCATCGAAACCGTTGACTGATAACGGATTTCAAAAGCATAGCCAGGCAAGATGGGGGCCCATTGTTGAAGTCGATTGGCTGTATAGGCAGGAATTCCCTTTTTCGAGCCGAAAATGGCCAGCAGCGGCTTGTGATCTGTCAAGAGGTTGAAGCGACGATCATACAGCATCTGGTGAAATTGCTTCACAGCAAACACTATGGCCAATGCCTCCTTCTCGATCTGACTGTAGTTGCTTTCGGCTTTCGTCAGCGTCCTGGCGGCATATGAGATCGCCTTCTGAGATCCACCAAGGGAATGTATGGAGAACTATGGCACCGATCCCTAGACTTTACGCGTCTGTGGTGAGGACACTTTTTCGGGACGGGTCAAAGTGAGTCAGGAGAAGGTCTGAAGCCAGCAATGACTTGACTCGCTCGAACGCAGTCTGGCATTTTGGCGTCCAATTCCAGGTTTGGACCTTGCTCAGCAACTTGTGCAGGGAGCCAGGCAGGCGATGCAGGTCGGGCAGAAAAGCGCTGTAATGACTGATTAGGCCACAGAATGAACGCAGCGATTGCAAGTCCGCAGGCAGGGGCATCTTTTGAATAACTCGGATATTTTCTGGATCAAGGCGACGACCGCCTTTTGAGAAAATGAAGCCGAGTAACTTCATGGTTGGTGTAAAAATGCACACTTTCATTCCCGGATATGGAAACCATATGAGTGGATGCGTTCTAGTACTTCAGCAAGCCGTTCAAATAGTTCTGCCGTCCCACCCATTAAAATGATATCATCCAGGTACGCCGCGGCTCCGGGAACTCCCGCGAGCATGGTGTCTAACAGCTGTTGGAAGATGGTTGGTGCTGTTTTCATCCCAAAAGGGAAGCGGTTGTACTGGTACAATCCACAATGAGTGTTGATGGTCAGCAATTCTCTCGCGCCTTCATCATCCTCGACCTGGAGGTAGGCATCGGACAAGTCGAGCTTGGCGAAACAGTCCCCACCATTCAGCTTGGCAAAGATATCCTCTAGTGTCGGAAGGGGGTATTGATGGTTGCCCACTGCGGCAGAGGCCAGTCGAAAAATCGGAACAGACAAGCACTTTACCGTTCGGCTTTATCAAATCTGGATCTTGATAAAACTTAGCAAGGAGCCGAGTACGGATTTCCGCGTCGCGTGGAGACTGTAAAGCACGGACAAATATGAGACACTGGTCATCCGTCAAACAGCTTATCTTACAACGTTCAAATTCGCGGTTAACCATGTCTGCTAGTGCCTCATAATCATCCGTATCCCACTTAACAATTTTTAAACATTGGTAGCGAATGCTAAACAAAGACGTTGACCCAGTAAAATTTATTTGAGTATTGTCACCGCTTCGTTGAAAGTGATGTCCTTTGACTCTTGGGGTGGGATGTGGTCGACGAATCTTGAACGTTCATTAGTACCGAGCTTGCGGAGCAAAAGACGCACTTTCCATGTATCAACTTGACGGCTGAAATCCGTCCGGAACATGTCGTCCCAGCGTTTGAACCACGCCGCGAAAGTGCATTCGGAACCAACATCATAATGGAATTCAGTGACTGAATTCGTAAGAAGATCAAGTGAAACGGTCTGCGTGTCCCGTACAGCTGCTCCGTTTGACTGTACATTCAAGCATTGCGTCAAACCTTCAATCAGTTTCACCTGTGCTTTAATCTGGGACTGTTGCCGAAGAAGCAGCTTTTGAAAATGTCCGGCGGAAAAATATATAACATTTTCGTGCTTGTCCGTCGCCATTGTTAGATCTTCACGTCTTCTCACTATTCTGAATTGAACACTCAAAAATTCTAGCCGAGCCGAAGAAAAAGCAGAAGTCCAACGACCTTGACCGCAAAAAGGTGTTAACAAAAACGCCGCCCAAACGCTGTACGACTACGCCAGACCTACGTCACCTATATAGGTGGCTCAATGCTCTTCGGTTTCTAGAAAATAGTCAATTCGTAAAACTAGCAGCCTCCCTGCCAAAATTCCGTACACTGGCAATCACGTAAAAGAATGGAAGGTTCCGGAATATTCGAAAGCAATGTACGATCGAAGATAATCGATTAATTGTTATAATAACGGGTTTAACTTTATGTTTTTACCGTTTCCCAGACATGGGAAAAATCAGACCTTTGATATCAAAAAAGCTTAATATACGCGCCAAGAGGCATCCAACTGCAGAGAGCGTGGGGTGCCAACACCAAAGCGCTGCGTCAGTTGACGCCGTGCTCGCAGCGACCATCGAAAAAAGTGTTGCAGGAATTGTAGAGAAAGAGATAACCTGGCATGGATAATCAGAGACGAAAAGCAGGATGATAAAATTGCATAGATCACGAAAACCGCAGACGTTTCGACCCACAACGGAGATGGAAAAAAGATAAATAACAGAAAGTTAGGTACATTACCTGAGAATTTAACGTGGCACACAACGTATGCTCATCGGCCAATGTGCGAGCAACGAAAGCCTTAGCCGCTGCCACAGCAGCAGCCGCGGCTGCCGCTGATACCGCAGGTATGTTAGCCGCCGCAGCCAACGCAACTGACTCTTGCGTGTTATCCACTCTGAGATCTTCTTGCGGACCGTAGCGAACCTCCAATCCACAGCTGGTATCGTCGGATGAAGCATTGGTACACGCACCAGTGTTTCCCGCCATGGTTGGCAAATGCTGAGCTAAATAACCAGCAGCGGCAGCAGCCGCCAAAACGGCAGTTGTGGATGATGATGATACCACAGGGGTCGATTCGGTGACAACATGTTGACCAGGAAACAGAGGGAGAGTTGCAACAGATGTAGAGGGAGTAATTCGAAGGAAGTTATAGGAGGGGAAGTAGGCACCCGAAGTATTTGTTACGGTGCCGTTGGTTGGTAAAACGTTGCTAAAAATGGCTGGGCAGTCGGCAGTTGCATGTGGGCTAAGTATAGTGCCAGAAGCTGAACTGTTACATTCGAAGTGAGAAAAAGGTATGGTGAGCAGCGCGGGAGCAGAGGACACAGACGAACTTGAAGACAAGATATGTGATGGAATGGGAGAAACAGTGTTTGACAGCAAAAAAGTCGCCTGTGGATTTGGCACAGCGGAAGGGTGCTGTAGTACAGCTGGGTGCTGAGTTGGATCAGCCACAACAGCTAAAACGGAGGAGCATGGAACGGGCTGACTAGTGCTGGGGACCGAGCCAAGAGGAGCGTAAGCACCAAAACTGGGAGAGTGTGCGTATAGGGTGTGTTGTAAACTCTGAGAAGGAAGTCCGCAGTGACCGACAACGCCAACGACTGGGGTTGCTGAAGTGTAGCTACCAAAGCATACATCACCTACAGGAGTACGGAGAGGCTGGTTGGAAAAAGCCGGATTTGTGCTGTGTTTGGAAGATTGGGAGAAGGAAGGCCGATCAGAAACTGACTCGGAAATGGACATTGTTATCATTGTAGAGGGTGGCAGCCCAAAAGAGACTCCATCTGTGATAGCGCTCGACAGTGCACATGAAGGGACAGAGGTACAAGTCACTGGTCCAAAATCGGGAACAACACAGTAGGTATCGTCAGAGACAGTGCCTCGAGGGACTGTTGAAGTCTCACATTGAAGGATTTGCCCTTTGGCGTGTGAAGCAATGTGACGATATTTACAACTGGAACCGCGGATGCAGCATCCGCTGAGATAATCCTGCGTTAAGGAAGAAGAAAATCGAGTAATTTACAAATAGCCGCCGTATGGCAACAGATCAAGTTTATTTGTCAGCTTTGATATGAGCACTGGAGTGCAAAAAAACTTAGCTGTGCCATCATGATTGCAATAATTATGGAAAAATAAGGCCAGAACGTTAATCGTACACCTCGATGGAGAGAAAGACAATGACTATGACTTCTCGACTGCAGTGATACACAGTTTAAATCATCAATGATGTGGCGGCCCGCTCCAGTAGACCGATAATCCGTATCTTCTAAATCCCTACAATGTTATCGCTTGATCGCGATGAAAATGCAGTTATTTTGCGTCAAAGCACGCGTTACAAACGTGGTAAATGGCTTTCAGACAAACAAAGTATGTGACATAATGGGCACAGCTTGTTCACACATAGTAGGTGGTGCATCGCATGGTGGGATTTGTTACCAGACAGAAGCCGATGGACCCCAAGCATTATTCAGCCACTGAATTCATGAAACATGAACAGGATGACATGAGCACAAAGGAGTGGAATGGCTAGAGACTGCAAGTAGATTCGTCGCGCAACAGCCAAGCAGAGAACCAATGGCGGTAAAACCGCAATGATGAGTTTGGTTTGTTTAGTTAAGGTCCTAAATGTTGTCGCCACCGGTGCCACCGTGACAAAAATAAAGATAATTGCTGGAGAAAATAATGCAAACAAGCGCCCCAAGGAACAGATGACAAGAAAACAAAAATACTAAGACAGTTGATGCATGGTTAGCGGCGAGATGGAATAAACAAAGTAAAGCGCAAAATTGGCATCGTGGCTGTAATACCGATGCGGACGATCCACAGGACTCCGTTCAGGAAGGAGACACGAGGCAATCCGACACAACGTCGACATCAGTTCCTGCATATCAGCTAGCCGTGATATGGATCAGTCAAGATTGCGCTTCATCCAACAATGCTATGGAAAAATGATTTGAGGTGAACAAGGAAGACAACTTATCATTTATTTATTTACTTATTTATTTGCAGAGGTGCGACGTCAACAGGCGATCCGAGGAAAGGACTTTTTAAAAAGCTGCAACTGGAGAGCCTGAGTAGTACTCAGTTACAGCTCCTACAAATCTGGACAATGCCTTTGAAGCTTCAGAGTTCAGATACGATCATTCTCTAAAGGTTTTCGAATCGTGATGAGCATATCCCAGGTCCATACAGCAACATTGGCCGCACTACAGTGTCGCAAAGTCTACTCATGACCAACAGGCTTACACTCCGCAGTGTCCAGTAGTGAATGTGCATTGATTTATTCGGTAATACGGCCACTCTAAGTGACAGAGACATGGCTAAATTGACCAATCGATCGCCTCAAGCTTGTTTGGAGACAGTGCAAACCAGTGCAATGTCCGACCAAGACCAAAGTACGTACCGCACTGCAGCACTTGAAAAGTAGTCGATTCCGACTTCAAGAAAGAATAATCGTCCAACCACCCGGTGATATGTGAGAGGAAACAGCTACTATACGAAGGTAAAGACACAAAGCAGCCTCAGCACGGCAGGCTCGTTGTAGTGAACTCAAGGGACGAATTTCGGCAGACTGTTGTACAGCCATAAGGTTTCCGGGGTGTTTGGAAGACCCAGCTACTTCGAGTGACTGGTATTTTGAGAGGAATATCTGACACAACATTTAAGGAACCCGTGGTGTTGTGACCCAGATGCCTGACTTGCAGCCTATGTATTCCAGGTACGAGTCTCCGATCCTAACCATGTGTGAAAGTCATGGAAGTACACCAACCCGAGATCAATAGTCTGCAGTTGCATGACAGCGAAACAATAGCACTGGATTACTGCCGGTGCCTTTCTTCTTCTTCGTCACACAGTTTGGTTCGGTCACAGATAGCCGTGGTCAACTGAATACAAAGTGAACCTCAAATCGAGCGACACATCGCCTATATGCATGTCACCGTAGTGTCTAAAATTGTCCATATATATGGACAAAATATCTTTCGACAAGAAGGAAAGCTGTTCGGTTTACATCCGGTTTTATTTCAACTGTGATAGCCAGCCGTGCGCTTTTTAAAGGTAATCGATACCTAGACGTTCTATAGTCTAATTGAGAGAGGAAAACGATTGAACGCAGTAACTTATCGGAAGACACCGCTGAAGAGCAGTGTATAGTGTTGAACAAGCCCAGTAAATCGATCACAAAGGAGTCGCTATAGTTTTTTAGTAATGATGAGAATAGGCCATTGGATTCATGGTGTCATGCAACTCGTGAAAAGCAGAAATTAGAACCGGATCCTCTCAATATTAGCCGCAATGTATGACTTCCAATGGGGGTCACTGTCACCCAATGGAATAGCGTCCTTTGCACTACCTACTGCGAGTTGACCAATTTTGTCGTGCTGTTTCTGAAACATTTTATCTGAACTATCCCAATGGCATCGATGATATTTTACTATCGACTTTTCTGAATTTGGTTCAGAATGTTGTGCAAAAAAGTCCTATGTCGAATGAGTCTCGAAGCCAGAAACGCAATCAAAAGAAGTTCCAAAAGAACGCTTTGGTAAAAGAATAGAGCACTGTGCTTTTTGAAAGTTGGCTTTCAGCGCAGTATTATAAATGAAACACGAACCCCGCTTATCCCCCGATGCAACGTGCGCGCTGTCTCTCCTTGCTAAAATTGCTGACCTCACTACTACTATGCAGCGCAGGGAATATGCAAATATAGGGAATGCAATGCTGCGAAGTCTGTCGCATCTAGATGTGAAGGACAAGATCATTCAACTTGATGGACATCGTGTCATAAAGCCTGACCGTACTGGAAAGTCGCAGAATCGCGGAGGCGTCATCACCTACGACAACTAGGTACGGTGCAATTCCGTAACACTGTTGTCCACATACCAAAAGCTAGGATTATCCGTCACTTAAATAAATGTCAATCATCATTTCTGAGTGGATTTCACCCTATCGCCAACGGGAAGGTAGACATAGCTCCTGACACACCACCATCTAAGCTGAAGAATTTTGCAGATCATTTTTCCAAGCGTTGCTGTCTAAAACTGTTCACTACGTGTGCTGTTGCTGTTGTCTTTAACAATAGTGATATGACATGCATCAAGACGGTCTAAAAAACACGGTCCTTCGGAACGTGGCTGGATTTTGTCTTCACCAAGAGAACTCATTTGTTTTCTACCCTAAAATGGGCCCCTCTCGGTAACCGACTTATGCGTTCTAAAGATGTGTCTGGTCATTCATATCAAGACAAAATTGGTCCTGAAAAACTGTCAGACGGCGAGACCGTGTGACAGCAAATATCAGAAAACACAGAGTAATGCTGACTGCGACTGATTTTTCAGTTTCCACGGACGAAAATCCATCTTGTAAACGCGAGTATCCAACTAAATATATCAGCATCTGCTTTGATTTGTGCTTCCGTGTTTAGACCATCTATCCGCAGATGGACAGATTCTCTTCGCTGCTAGTGAAGCAAATTAGAAGAGAGAACGGGTGAGAGTGCTGCCGTCCGATCTGGGCATTTTAGCTGCAGCCGTTTCGTTGCCAAACTAGGCCTAGTGACCCACTGCCAGATTCGGGTGATTATTGATCGATTCCTGCTCTGGATGTTAGCCATTGATGAATTCGCATTAACCGAGTAATTACTTTCTTCGTCCTATCGGTCTGAGACAGACTGTTGGCTTGAACTGCTTGGCTTCGTAGATGCTCTCTGGCTCCAAGTGCGAGACCTCGATGAACTCACGAAGCTGCAGCTCCTTGTTCCTTCAAGTATCTTGGTGTTCTCCAGAATGAAGTGGAGACACAAGGCATCCACCTGTACTAACATTACATATTTCCCATCATGGCGGCGTACAGGCAATCTAGCGCCAAGTTTCCTTCCTGTATGATCCCGTACTACGTGTTACAACGTTTGTAGTTATTTTTTAAGATCACATACGACGTTACCTCTTTGCATAGCTTGCTTTTTACCTTAAAAACGTTTGTTCCGAACTGTTTCCGTTGCTTCGTGAGCAATATTTATCTTGCCAAACATTAACAGCTTCGCCACCATTTCAGAAATTCCATTAAGGTAAGGTAGGATAATCGTTTTACTTTCTGTTGCATCTGTGGATGTGGGCTGTGCTCAATTCTTCGACGTCAGACAGCGTAGGATAAAACTTATAGGAAATGAATTTCACTGGAAGAAGTTGAATAGGTGGTCCTCTTTCGCCTACCTCAATTGTGTCACGCCAGCGTTTGGACCCGAAGGAGAAGAGTTCTCAAGCAGCTGCACTTGCAAATGGACGGATGATTACAGCGATAGTGCAAGAATTTAACGGTGTGTATCGTCTTACGATAAATAGTTGTTCCCACTGGTCCATAAATAGCAACACGTCCATGAATATCAAATTGTTTTAGCTCTCCTACTCTTTGGTGATTTGGATGCCAGTGAATACATGGCTAATCAGCTGATGTGTTTCTTGAACACTGGAGTGTTTGCAGATGATAGAGGTATCCGCAATTTGAGCCCAGCAATCGGCAGTACCTTTTCTCCAGTGTTTACATTACTACTTTGACTACCAGTCCAGAGATTGGCGAGCCCATCTGCACGTTTGGCGGTTGAAAGTGATTGATCATATCGCAATCGGTTTCAGATGGAAGGGTAGGGTAAAGGATTGCAGATCTACCTGGTCTACTTTTCTTGACTCAGACCATGTTCTTGTCTGTATGAACATCTTCATGACTTTCGGATAGTCCTCGAAAATGAAGTGCTGTAAGATAGACAAGAATAAACTATCTATAGTTTCGGTTCAGCAGAGTTATCAAGATTCCCTGGCTGGTGCACTCGGCTGCGACGCACCGCGAGATATTGATGAACACTGGACGTGCATGCAGAGGACCATGATCCCTTCCGGACAGCAAGTCTGTGGTCATACTCAGCACCCTATGAAGGCCTGGATCTCCATGCGCTCTTTGAATTCATTTGATCGCCGCAGGAATATCCCAGCGGAGTCTAA